GAAGAATTGGAATGCATAAAAGACAGACTCAAAGAGATATTCAGGAAATTAAATACTTCATTGAAAGCTAGCAAACCCGCTTGAAAGAAACTAAAGATAGATTTTCAGACCTTGAAGACAGGATGGCAGCAGGCAATCATGAAAGGAAAGGTCTCTTAAAAAAAAAAAAAAAAAAGTAACCAGGAAATAACAATTCATCAGCCACAAGATGACACAAAGAAAAATAATTTAAGAGTGAAAGGTGTCAGCAAAAAAGCAGGAGTCAATACAAATTACATAAAGAGACTACTTACAGAAGTGATAGTAGAGAACTTCCCAAGGATGAATAAAAGAGATAACTGAGGCATACAGAACTCCAACTAGCCATAACCAAAATAAATCTACATGCAGACATAATAATCAAGATCCCAAAAATTAAGCACAAGAACAGAATATTAAAGGCTGTTAGAGGGGGAAAAAAACCAGGACACCTACAAAGGAAAATGCATCAGAATCATGACAGACTTCTCAACACAAATTACCAAGTCAAAAAAAGCTTGGAGTAAAGTATTTCAAGTCTTGAAAGAAAACAACTTCCAACCCAGATTGATGTACCCTGCAAAACTATCTTTCAAAACTGATGGAAAAATAAGATACTTCCATAACAAAGAACAACTGAAGGAATTCATGACTACCAAACTAACCTTACAGAGAGTGCTAAAGGATATTCTGGAGAGAGATAAAGATGACCACAGTTCCAGGAACAGCAGCAGAGTGGATCACCAAGTGGAGCAGACAATTGAATGGAGAAGAAAAGTAGGGAGCCACTGGCAGGGAAAAGCATAGTAGCCAATGCATTCTGGCCATAAGCATTAATGCAGATGGCCTCAGTTCACCAATAAAAAGAAACACAGGCAGAAGGGATCAAGAAACAAGATCATCAATATGCAGTATACAAGAAACACATTAACTGGAAAGGAAATTCATAGATTGAAAGTCAAAGGAGAGAAAACAATGCTCCATGTGACAGGGAACAAGGAAAAAGCTTGCCCATCAACCACAGAACAGACGAGAAATGGCATTTTTACACAATGGAAAGCTACTCGGCTATAAAGAAGGATACTCTCGAGGCTCTGGTAGGTAAATGGATGCAGCTGTGATCATGCTCTTGCATGAAATGGTTTGGACTCACATAGGTGAACCTTTTGTTGTCTCCCTAGGATAAAAACTAAAGGAGTCAGTGGGATCCAAAATGTACAATAGAGATCATGAAAGTGAAAGGGGATGAAATGTCTAAAAAGGAAAGGTGGTAGCCATTGGTAAAGTCCTATATCATTTATTGTTCTGTTTTGATTGGTTCTATTCTGTTCAGTTTTATTTGATTTCATTAGGTCTTATGGTATGGGCTTGACCATAACAAGAGGTATTATGGTAGCCATTGTTGATTTCCTATTATCTTGTTTTGAAATCCTATATAACTTTGTTTTGTTTTGATTGGCTTTATTCTATTTTATTGTGTTTGGTTTTATTCTCTTAAAAAATGTTTGCATATCACCTCTGGCTGCCTCCCGGTGGCTTCTGATATTCACTTATTTTTGAGCTGACAGTAGCCTTCAATTGGTTTCTTTTTCCTTTTTGCTTGAGTCCCTGCCTTTCATTATTTTATCCCCAGTCTTCTGGGTCTCTCCTAATAGAAGCTGAAGATTTCTCCACACTGGCTATTTTCAGTTTCTAAGTAGATTTGCTCTTCTTTAGTGCCCCAAAACTACAGCAACTCCTCAGTACCCTCAAGACTGGTTCTAGGGCTCCCCACAGCTGAAGTCCTTATATGAAATAGCCAAGTATTTACATATAACCCATGTACAACCCTCAGCATCCCCAGGTGACTTACAATGCCCATTACGATCCAAATCTATAGGAATAATTGGCATAGTGCACTTTTAAAGAATGATGCCAAGAGAAAAGGTCCATAGGAGATGAGGACAGACCCACCCATGCTAAGGTTAACTACAGAACACTGTATTGCGGTTAGCTGACTGCAGATATAAACCCTGCCTGGACAGAAACGTTTGCTATAGTCAGAGGCACCAGCCAGACTCACACTGAACGTTCCCTGAAGACTGTGCTCCCACCACGTGCCCCCAAGCCCTCACCCTCCAAAGATGGGTGGGTTTTTTCCAGCAGTGGGTCCCCATCCTGGGATCACCTCGAGTTGTCTCCTCACCCAGGACCAGGCGGCCCCAAGGGGCCCAGCATGACTAATAAAGGCTTTCCTATCACTTGAGGAACTGAAAGGATTCGAGATCAACTGGCAAGAAAGACCAGACCTCTCTTCCTGTGACCCTCAAGCTTCTTAGTCCTACATACAGGAAGAATAAATTCATCCAGTTCATATCCACATGGACAATGCACTCTGCTTGAGAACATACTACATTTCTTTCATTTCCAGTTTCTCAAATCCAGTCAAACTGCTATTGTTATCAAATTTGTTTATAAAACAGACTTTTTAAGATAGTTTTTGTTCACTACTACAAGCAAAAAAGGTTAAAAATACTAGCGCTGTATGTGAGGGTCTCTTATCTCAGCTTTCTTCTGCATAGCATTTAACTCCTTTTCTTCTACCTCAGTTGTTTTCTTCTTTCATATTTCTTCCTTCATCTCTCATTTCTAGTGTGACTTTTAAACTGGATGTGGTATTGCAGCAGAAAATGGCTCCCAGTGAGCCAGGACACTTCAGGTTCTTAGCTGCCCTGGTAACAGTTCCTGTTCCACTGTGATGCACATTGTATAAAGCAATCCCCAACTGAAAAGCCTTTCTGCCTCTGTACTTCCTGCTTGCTTATCTCATATAAGCGCTAGACCACCAGAGATCAGAGCCTGATATTCTGGCAATGATCCTGATCAGTGCCCATCGAGGTAATAAATCTGCCTCCAAATCTTGGGTTTTGTTTCTTCTTGCCATTGTAGTACGACATGCCTGTAATCCCAGCACTCTGGGAGGTTGAGGCAAGAGAATCAAACGTTTGTGCCCAACCTAGATAATTTAGCAATTTAGCAAGACTCTTTCACAAAATAAAAGGTTAGAAAAGAGCTGGGAATGTGACTCATTGTGAAGGCCCTGAGTTCAATCTCATTACTACACGAAATAAATGAATAAATAAATGTGTGTTTGTAGAACATGACTTTTTATTCCCTCTTGTCATTTCTTCCTGGCTTATTCAAAGCATTCTTTTGCTTGTTTCTTTTGTGGTGCTAGAGACTGAGAAAAACCAGGTACTCTACCACTGAGCTTGGCCCTCTACCCTTTCTATTTTTTATTTTGAGACAAGATTTCACTAAACTGCTCAGGCTAGGCTCACACTGGTGATTCTCCTGCCTCAGCCTCTCAGGAGTTGGCATTGCAGTTGTGCTGGCCTCAGAGGACTTTTGTTTACTGAGTGAATACAGTAAGTCAATGACTGAAGATTGCCGGTCTGTAACAGTTAACTCACAAGTAGAACATCAAATAAAAATGCTGCACAGGAGGGACCCCTCACAGCATTGCAATGCAAGGAAACTAGAGTCCCCAGTGTGTTTCTTCACCCATCTTCATGTGCACACTTCTGTCTGCCTGTATCTTTACCCTAACTCTGCTAGAAGCAAATGGACTTGACTTCCCTGCCTCTGGGAGTTGGACTGGGTCATGTGACTTATTTTGACCAATGATAGCAAAGATAGGCAGAGGCCCAGTGGATATGGTGTCATAGGCCTTTAATCTCAGCATCCAGGAGGCTGAGGCAGGAGGAGCACAAGTTGAAGATCAGCCTGGGCTACATAATGAAAGCATGTCTTAAAAACAAACAAATATTGGCCATGAGAAGCAACAGACCAGAGCCCACTGAGCCCAGTAGATCTGAGCACCCTGAGGTAGATGGGCGGAGGCAAGTCCTGCGGTGTCCAGTCACCTCCTGCACTGCCCAGCCTGGGCCTGCTGGGCTTCCGAGGGAGAGTGGATGAGCCGGGCTTGGTGCCTGGAGTCTGAACAGAGGGGGCTGTCCCACAGCTCCGCCAAGGCAGTGCTGAGTGAAAAGGGGTGGCATCTATGCTCTCCCTGCTGGCGTTCTGCCTGACCTCCTTGCTTCCGCACGTCCCTGCTCTTCTCCTCAGCTTTCCATTCCCAGACACATCACCAGCACTCCCCTCTCTCCCATTGGTCCCAAAGGGCCAGGTTCACAGCTGCCCTGAGCACGCACTGCCTGCCTTCAGGTACTCGAGAGTCCACCTGGCGAAACACAGACACAGACAGGCCCATAGCAGATGCTCAAGATGTGTTGAGTGCTTCTGTGCTGTGCCTCTGAAGTGGGCTGTCAGGGGTTGGCCTGGAGAATGCAAAAGCAAAAGGGATTCCCATCTCTCAAGGTGCTGATCCTTTTCGAACTTTACGAAAATATTTTACACTGGATTAAATGTTTTTAAAGTTACTATGAAATTGAACAAAAAATATTTTCTACTGTAAAATTAGACTATGAAAAGAAAAAGGTAATAGTAGAGGATTAGAGGATAAATATACAAATACAGAAATCAAAAGTTAACTAAATTACATATCAATTAACAACTATTGGTTTTTAAATAAAATTCACAAGGAATTCAGATATTGCTTTAGTTGTGTTTTTCTGGATGCCTTTTTCTCTTTCTTTCTTTTTGAGATAGGGCTTGCTGAGTAGGTCAGGCTGGCTTTGACCTCACTCTGGGGCCGAGACTGGTCTCAAACTCATGGTGATCCTCCTGCCTCAGCCTCCTGAGTGCTGGGATTACAGGCCTGTGCCACCACACCTGGCTAGGTGCCCTTTTTCATAATCGGCACCTTTGTGGTACATGCAGTTCTTTCAAGCACCTGTCCTTGGTGTTCCGCCAGACTCACTTGTTCGACAACAGTGCCAGCCTTGGGGATTTAGTCTGCACTCGCCTAGCCTTGCCTAGACACGGTGGGAACCGCATCTCTCACTGACTGGCTTCTTCCTCGTTCTCTGCTTCTGACACAGGGGCTTTTATGCAGAAGATGGCACCTGTGAGCGCTGCAGCCCTCCCTGCAGAACATGTGAAGGGAATGCCACCAACTGTCACTCGTGTGAAGCAGGCTTCGTGCTGGCCCAAGGAGCGTGCCTGAAGACCTGCCCTGAGAGGCACGTGGCTGTAGAGGGGGTGTGCAAGCCCTGCCCCGAGCAGTGTCAGGACTGCATCCACGAGAAGATATGCAAAGGTACCCAGGGGCACCTAATGAGAGCTCACTCCAAGAACTGCCCCAGCTGGGGCCACTTCCGAGGCCAGGGTGTGGAGGGGAGCCCTGAGAATCACCCACCTCTGCCTTTACTAAGTCTGTCTGTCTCCTTGAAGAAATCGAGGGTGAGATACACACTTGCCACTGTGCATTCTGCAAGCCATGACAAACACAGTTTCTTACACACACACATGCACACCCACACCTGCACACACACAGGGAATGCATGCCAAGCACTGTCCTAGGCACTAGAGATACAGCTAAGAATCCACAGTCTCCACTCTGAGCACAGAATCTTACAGGAGAGATTCACCATAAACAACAAAAGATGGAGAGAACTGGGGAAATACAACTGTTATTTAAAAAAGAGAGAGAGAAGAAAATAAGTGTTCAGGCAACTATAAGACTGAGACTAGCACACTTGCTGTAAAAAAGCTTTTTTACTCTTGAATTATCTCCCAGGAAAGGCTGTCTAATTTCCTCTTCAAAATAAGACAGACTCACTTGCCTGGTGCTTTAATATCCAATGGTTCTCTTGGTGTGACCAGGTTCCCCTCGCCAAAATAAGAAAAAGAAAAAGAACATGTGGAAAATAAACCCACAATGCACTAGTCTACTCAATTAATGAATGAAAAATTAACCCAATAACTCCTAAACTGCTTTTTGATTAAATAGATGCTGAGGTGCTTGGTGCGGTTTTAAGTATCTGTGAAATTTGCTCAGGTTTTCCGCACAGTACCTGCAGCCTCAGGGGTACAGAGCATATCAGTGCACAAATCCTGTATCATGTAACAGGCACCCGTGCGTGGCTCCTCCTCCTGAAGCAGGGCTTGTTAGACGTTGAGAATGTGCTCTGGCAGGGTAGGGGTGGGGCAGCTGGGTACTGGGCACATGAACCAGTGTGGTGAGAAACAGGCTGGCCCTGTGCAGAGGTAGCCAGTTCCTTCCTCCAGGCTCCCGGGCATAACGAGCTGTCCCTCCCTTCCCCCAGAGTGCCTGCCTGACTTCCTCCTGCTGGATGGCGTGTGCCGGCAGTCCTGTCCCCAGGGCTTCTACCCTGACCTGCAGCAGTGTGTCCCCTGCCATGAAGCCTGTCTGCAGTGCAGTGGCCCCAAGGCGGATGACTGTGAGCTCTGTGCTGACCGCTCCATGATCCTCTATGACGGGCTGTGCATAGACCAATGTCCCGAGGGGACTTACTATGAAGAAGAGGCCGAGGAATGCAAAGGTACAGCCTTCAGGGATGTGCGGCTCAACACAGCGTCTCCGGCAGCCTGCTGAGCTGGTCTCTGCCGAGACAAAAGGGCTCTGGGTTCCAATGCGGAGTTCTAGCCACAGCTGCTGTTCCATGCTAACTTTCCCACTCAGGGCAGCTGATTTTAAAGCTGTTCTAATTAATTTTTAAGTGAATCGCTCATGAGCTGTGATCATGCAGTTTCCTTAGTAACAAGTCCCGGGACCCTCTTTTAATGGTGAGCATCAGACAGGATTCCCCCATGATGATTTCCAGCAGAGCTGGTGAACCCTCAGGAGGGTACACCTAAAACTGCAAGGCACTCTGAGTTCATGGCGTGAGCACTCTGTGCCCTGCATGCCTCTGTCTCCTTTCACAGCAGCCTCCTCATCTTCAGCCCACCGGCCAGCTTCATTCCCTGCAGGTTCAAGAAGCAAGCTACCTTATTTCTACCTCCTGCATTTTAACTGGGTGTGGAATCCTGTCTGTCGTTAGTTATTATGGAGCAGAAACGAAACTAGTTGTTCATCAACAGAGGACTTCTCCAGTAAAGGAGAGAAGTGTTCTTGGAGAGGGACTTTCCAAAGCCCAGATGGCTTCACACACTTTCCTGGGCAGAACCAGCAGGCACGCTTGTTAAAGACCTGGATTCTGCTCTTGGTCCTACTGGACTTCTTCAGTTCTGCACCTCGAGTTTCCTGGTGTAGACAAGATGAGAGAATGACAGCAGGAATGATCCCGTCCAGCTGTTGGCCTGGGGAATGCTTTTAGGGGCCTCTGTGTGCCATGTGCTCTTTTAGGCCTGGAGGATAAGACAGAATGATTCCTGCCCTCATGGAGTTCACACTTTATTGAGGAAGACAGATAGTAAAGAAGCTGAGTCACAGGGAGAGGAAAGAGAAATAAGAAAGGAGATAGGAAGACAGGAAAGGTGGGAATACAAAGCTGGGGTGAAAGATGGGCAGGTGGGGAGGCACTTGAGGAAGGACCTGAAAAATGTCCCTACAAAAGGAAAGGGACACATGAGGCTGCTGGTGCATCTACCTGGGGAAGACCTCAGCAGAGAGAATAGTAACTTCTAAAACCTTGGGTTGGGGGTAAATCATTCCCATTTTATTATCTAGCAAATATTTCTGGAGTGCTTGTTTTACACGCAGGCCCTCTCCTGTGCCTGTGCACTGTGTGTTCTGTCAATAGGCGGTGATCCTACAGCGCTGCAGCTGGGAGGTGAGGAAAGGCCGTAGCCAGAAAGGCCACATACTAGCATGTGACTGCATGGCCAGAGAATTGCTGGCTGTTACTCTGCTGCCATGTGGGTGATCACAGAAGTGTTATTAATCTTCCTGAGTTGGCCTCTGCGGGGAGGAGCTCCCTGGATATTGTAGAGAAGGGAAGAGTTATTTTTTCTTATTTTGCATTGAGAATGCTCCACCCATGGCCCAAGGGCTGTGCCCAGCTCATGACCCCGCACCCTTGCACATGGAACCCAGAGCCAGAAGTCTCTGGGAGGAAGGGTTCCCTCTCACCCTGCTCCCTGTCACACCTGCAGCTTGCCAGGAGTCCTGTCTCACGTGCTCATCACCCAGGAGCTGCACAGCCTGCCAGGAAGGCATGCAGAAGAACAGCCACGGGACCTGTGTGGCTCCCAAAGAATGTGCCGCCATCGAGTACTGGGACGAGGACACGCACAGGTGCAAGCCCTGCCACAGGAGGTGCTTCCACTGCACGGGGCCCGCGGAGGACCAGTGTCGCAGCTGCCCGCGGAGCAGCCTTCTTCTGAGTGAGTTACTTCCTACCCCACATCCAGAGACCTTTGTTTTTCTCTCCTTCTGGAAAACCACCTGGTGCAATGCTTGGTACCCAGTGGATACTGGCTTCTTTTTTACTTTGTTGGGGAAATTTCTAAACCTAAAGAAAAATACAAGGGGGAGAATAGCACACAGAACATCACACATGTGTCTGTCACCCAGTGCACTTACTGTGAATCTCTTACCTTGTCCCACCTGCTTACCATTTACCCCACCACCACCATATACGCTACACTCAGTGATGTGTTGTCTATAATATTTCTTTTTCAGCACCACTGGAGGGGAAGTTACAACATGGTCCATGACCCACAAACACTTTAGTGCTTTCTAAGTATATGAATACTTTCTTACATAACCCCAAGACAACCTCCAGTTCTAATAAATTTACATTGATGCAATACCTTAATATAATGTTCTTATTAAAATGTTGCCAGCTCCCTTCTATACTAGTGATGAGTCTAGGTTTAGGAATTGGCTTCCAAGTCTCCAGCCTCCTTTAATCTGGAACATTTTCAGACTGTCCTTGTCTCGGTTGTTTTTGAAGCAGGGAATCACTATGTTGCCCAGGCTGATCTCAGACTCCTGGTTCTTCCTCAGCCTCCTGAATAGTGGGGATTTCAGGCATGTGCACCATGGCCAGCTTGTCTTTGTCTTTCATAATGTTGATGCTTGAGGAGGAGACAGTCCCTGGCCCTGGTGTGGGAGGGTGTGCAGTGTTCCCATGATGGATCTAGTGTGTGCACTCTCCATTGGAACAGGTGTCCTCTGAGAGCAATACCAGGAGGTGCACACGTCTGGCCACCTCTTCTCAGTACTGTGAATGTCAGTGATCTCACCAAGGTGTTCAGCTTCTCCACAGAATAATTGCCATTGACTCCATTCTAATTCATAAGCAGTTTGTGTGGCACCACCTTAAGAACAGACAGTCAGCTCCTCATCAAAATTTCCTCTTGATTTAGTATCCATTGCTCAGTAATTCTTGCTGGACAATGTGTGGTGCAGTCCAAGGTCAGCTGTGGTCAGCAGATCTGAAAGTCTCTGCTAGGATAAGCCAGTATCCTCAGTTTACAGGGACAGCATGGCTGAGCTCAAAATCAGCAAAGGAGAGAGATGCAAGCTGAAACTCGACTGAAAGAAGAGGCTGGGGGAAAGAAAAAGAAAAATATGGGCAGGACTAGAACGTATGAGGCTTGTCCTCCAGCACTAGTGTGGCCATGAGAAGTGAGGCACTCATAGTTGAAATATGTGGCAGGTTTTTCCTCTTCTTGATGAGATACCATTAGCAAAGGCCTCATTCTCCTGAGGATACACAGGGACGCCCACTCTGGAGCCCCTCACAACAGAAGATGCCAGAAAACATCAGCCTTCCCTACTAACCTGCCTTAGCTCCTGTTACACAAAGCCCAAGCACCTCCTCCCAACAGTTGCTTCTTCCAAATATCTCCTCTACTATCCCACCCAATAGGACCTTCATTTCTAATTATCCCCAGTACAAAATGCCACCAGGGGTCACCTCAGATGCCATCATGCTATGGCAAACAGAAACACCAAAGCATCATCCATGATTTAGAGGCAGATTTATTTATGTCAACAGGCACCAACTTAAAGAAAAAAATGTCAGGTCCCAAAGGCTCACGGAGGGAGGTTTTCATATGGTTGCAAAGAGAAAGCACAGAAGTAGAATATTTAGCTGTCTTTGATTGACTCTTACAATACTCATCATAGTGACCAGTTATGTGTCACAGTGATCCACTGTTTCTAAGAAACAGAAGTAAAAGGAACTGTTACCTTGGCAGCTAACAGAAACTGAAGTATACTGACTAGGGAAGGGCATTCTGCTACGTTTCCCCCATCTTGTTTTGCCAGCAAATGTTTGCTAGGCATGTGTCGTGGTTACTTTTCTCTCATTGGTGGGAAAAAATACATGACAAACAAAACTAAGAAAGGAAAGGTTTATTTAGCTCACAGTTTGTGGAGGTTTCAGTCCATAATCAGCTGGCTGCAATGCAGGGTGGCATGGCACAGGGGTCATACTTTGAGGTAGACAAAGACAGCACAGCAACAAGAGCAAAAGAGGGGCAGAGCAAGCCTCTTTTCCTCCCTTTATAATGTGTAAGTGTAGCACTCACATGATCTGCATGCCTCCTCTTGCACAGACTCAGAATGTTACAAAGTAAGGACACTGGCCCCCTAGTGACTCACTTAAACTATCCATCTTCTCAAATTGACACAATTAACAACACCCTAGACTGATAATGGGGTATAGAGGCATATGTCTTGGTTACTTTTCTCTCAATGCTGGGACAAAATACCTGACAGCCAGATATTTCCTCTACACCCCAGGATGAAGAGCTGCTGAGTCACTTAGTTAAGCTTTTAGACTGCTCAAGTTGACACAATGTATCAACCATAATAATCTACCTTTTTCAACTTGGCAACCACTCACACTTCTTTAAACCAGTTTTCAGATATAAGTCATGCTTATTTTTAACATTTTACCACTTGAACATTGTAACACAGGTTTAACAATCCTTGAGAATCAGTATTAAGTTTATTCACATTATAGTGCATTAGAATCATAACATTTCCCCTAGCCCCCAAAAGACTCATATCCCTTTATTCAAAAGGCATTTAATCTATCTCTAAAAGTTACCAAAGTCCTAGCAGCTTCAGTACTGCTGTAAAGTCCAAGTTCCAAGTTTCTTCCGAGATCTAAGACAAACTCTTAGCTGCCAGCCCCTGTACAAATGAAATGGATGCTCATAATAAGAGGAAGGACCTTCCTGAGTATTATGGAGCTAGTTACAAAACATTTCTATGGGGTTGTTTTATTCCTTCTAATAATTCTGCCAGGTTTGAGTTATCTGGGCTACAAATGGATGTCATTTGTGCCTGATGTCTGTCATTTGCAGACAGTAAAGTAGATGCTGGCCAGACATGGGATGTTATGGCTTTCACTTGTTTTGGTGGGTTTCCAAACAGCAGCAGCAATCAGTAGATCCTTTCATTTTTAGATCAACTATGGCCCTACATGAGTTTGTTATGCAGACCGTCTTTGTGGGAGAGGTTTGGCCAAGGTGACCACAGCATATCTAGGCTGCTGGATTCCATTCCCAACTACTACTGCCATCTGTAATCAGGGCGTTCTCAGCATCTGTATTAGTTATTTTTTACTTGTTGCTGAGACAAAATACCTGAAGCCCAAGTTGGGAGAGGAAAGGTTTATTTTTTATAGTTTTTGGAGGTTTTAGTCTACAATTAGTTGGCTCTAAGGCAGGCGGGCATGGCTGGGCTGCAGTTCATGGTGCAGGAACCAGCAAAGAGCAAGACATACCTTCTTCCTGCCACATCGCATCCTGGCTCCACCCCTATGTGGGTGGAGCACTGACACCATCAATCCAAGCACTAGACAATGAACCATCACAAATGCACAATGCAAACTCATGAGGCCTGGGGGTCACAGACATATACCATGACATTTTACCCCTGGCCTCCAGGATTCTGTACATTTTTATATAAAACACATTTAGTCTACCTCCAAGAGTTGTCAAAGTCCTAAGTTTTAGCACTGCTGAAAAGTCTGTCTTAAGTCTCCTCTAAGATCTAAGATAAACTCTTAACTGTAACCTCCTTTATAAATGAAACAAGATTAAACATTTTTGAAATGCAAAGGTACAAGATAAACATTATCATTTTAAAAGTTACAAACAGGGGAATATAAAGCATTGGAAACAAAGCAAGTCTAACATCCAGCAGGACAAACATTAAGTCCTAGAGTTTTATGCTCAGCATCTGAAGCAATCTGGTTGTAAGCTCTAAAAGGCTTGGGTGATTTTAACCCCATGGCACTTTTAGGAGTTTTATCTCCCACAGCTTTTTAAAAAAATTTTCTCTGCTTGCTTTTTGGAGATTTTTTTTTTTGGATCATCCACGTTTTTGGCTTTTTTAAAAAATTTTATTTAAGGAGAAAAAAGAAAAAAACAGAAAAGGGGTACAAGTTATACAGAATTTCAGAAAAAATAAACAGTAGGAAATCACTAGTTAATTACTATTGTCATCTTAGAAATAGTTGTTGGAGTTACAAAATTAAAGCATATAGAGGGTTCTTTCAAACAGTGAGACTGCAAACAGTTTTGTTCAATGATCCAACAAAACTCAGTAATATGGTTATCTATCTTATACACTTAAATAAATATGCAGTTATATGTTTTAGAGAACTTTCTTTTCCTTTCTTTTGTACAATGACAATTACACATTTTGGGTTTTATTACTCCCACAGTTCTTATTACTTTTTTTTTTTTTTTTGAAGAAAGTAAAACCAAATGTGACATACCAGGACAGAGTCAGTCAAATCAAAAGGATGGACATAATACATAATATAAAAATAAAATACAAGGTGATCAACAATGGTTACCATAATGCCTCTTGTTATCTTAAAAAGAATTGCCTATATCATCAGTTATAATAAAACTGAACAAAACAGTAAAGAATAAGACCAATAAAACCAAAATATTGGAGACATTAGAGGACTTCAAAAGAAGATACTAGTCAACCAGAATGGGCGTCACAATGAATCTTATTGTCTTCATAGTTGTTGCTTATACTTTCAAACTTGGTACTATCAAGCATAACAGAATAGAGGAAAATCAGTCAAAACAAGATGGTGAGAGCAATACAGAGTTTCAAATCAAGTTAATAGGAAATCAGAGTGGGTTACTATAATATATCCTGCTATTTTTTATTTATTTTTCCCATAAGTAGAAGGATAAAAATGAAAAAGTAGATAATAAAAAGGAGATTGAGATAAAAAAGAGGGCATAACAACAAAACAGTGCAGGTCAAAACATAGCCATTTAAGCAAAATAGTGTTTCACCACAAGATAATCTCAACATAATAGTAGTTACCATAGTGTCTCTTCCCTTAAAATCTTTGGGTATAACTTTGTATACTATAGCATCAAACATATCAAGA